ATTTATTGGAGATTATCATATCATGGTTAATACTATCTCCATAAAATCTAGATATACTATTTTGGTACCCCTTAAGTGATGGTAGGTCTTTGATGAAATCAATTTATAATCTTTTAGCTTCCCCAAAAAAGACCTCTTCTTAAGTCCACTAGAGGATTGTGTGATCTCTTATTGTCCCTAAAAAGGTTTATTAGTTCATGTGGCTCTTGGGCTTGAACTGCCTCTATTTATAATGTATGATGAGATTGAAATGATTTAAAATTTTTAATACTATTTTCTCTCTTCCTTTTCACAGAAACTTAAAGACAAGTGAGGTGATCATGAAATTGCTACTTGGAAAGTTATCTTCCTCACCACGACATGGTGAATACCAAAGAGACGACTGATGGTAGTCGAATCTACCAAAAATAAAATCTTAATTATTCAATAAAACAAATTTGTAGTAGTGACAAGTAGGGTCGAATCCACAAGTAATTAAAAATTGAATTTCTTCCTTAACCAATGAATGAAAAGTAACAACGGAAGTTTTTGTAGGATTCAATATTAATCTCAAAATACAAATTATAAAATAAGAATATAACATAACAATTAACAAAATTTTTATCTACAAGTTAGAAAATAGATCAATTATAATAAAAATTCATAGTTAACGAAATAGTTAAGCTCTAGTTATGTATTAAATCATAGATGCAAGATTAATTTCATTAAAAACACTGCAAATTAGTTATAGTTGTCAGAAACGTTCCGCTAACCAGTCATTCCTTATTCCTAAATCAACTAAGAAACGTTTATTAGCTGGCTCTTTACTGAGCAAACAGTCTTGGGAACGTCAACATAATTTAATCTACCAATGCCTTGAGAGGTAAAAAAATCTGATTCAAGTTGTCGGATTCATCCGCGTGAATCGATCAACCAAATTACTTACTTTCTTAGCATCGCACTAATTGCTGCTAGGTGCCGGAATCGCTCAAACAATTACGAATTTGAGCAGTTCGGCTAGCTGCTTGTCATTTTGCCTCGCGTCTGACGAACCTTATTTAAATTGATTCAAAGACAGCAAATATGTATATGTGCAGAAAGTAAATAAATCCCAGAATTGAAATAAAATTTTATATTAACTCAGTTTGATATCACAACACGTTACTGGAATTTTTTAAATCTATTAACTAGGGAAAAAAAAGCAAATCAGGCACTCGTGTTGGACTTTTAATAAAAATAAGTTTCTTGAAGATTAAAGAGAAGAAGAAAGATGAAAAGAAGGTGCAAAAGCTGTGGATGTTGCTGTCAACGGCGATAGGAAAAAAAGAGATGTTTTTTATAACCTATGGAGACTAGGGTTTCTTCATTTCTTTATTGAGATCTTTCCCCAAGATTTAAACTTATCCTCAACTTTCCAACATAATATTTTTCTAATTTTCGATTCTCAGATCTCGACTGGAATGAGATTTTTTTAAATTAAAAAAATTCGCTCTTTTTTTTTTTTTTTTTTAAAGTTAGCCGTTGCTCTCAACACAAGCCTTGGGCAAGACTTATTTCAATTACGTGCGGGGCTTGTGAACTTATCTCTTTCGGGTTAGCCTTGGCCAAAGTTTAGTTGAGAGTCTTAGCTTGCTCTTGCTGCCTTGGCTGCTAGCTGTGCCCAATGGTTACTTGTGCTTATTCCTTTTTGCTGCGACGTAAGCCTTGAGCGCGACTTAAGTCTGTGTGTCAAAATCTATTGTTGCTACATGGTCTAAGCCTTGCTCGAGGATTAAACCATGACAAGTAATTATTCTGCAGTTCTTTTAAATTTTGGACTCCGTCTCCTATCCTGCGTAAAAATAGACAAAATAACTTAAATTAGATAGTAAGCAATTTAATCAAACACACAAAAGTATGTAACCAGAATGTTGATTTTGTATCATATCAACGACAGTAGTTCATAGGCACACATTAGATAAGAAGGTTAGTTTAGATTCATTTGTGTCACCTTCCTAGGTACTTCAAGTTTAATATTGGCTACTTATCTCAAGACAACCCAAGAAACACGATAGTTTATATTTTCACTAACAATAATGAAGTTCACTAGGTTATTAGTTTTATGTGCAACATTGCATGGATTGTTTGATGTTGGTTGAAGTTCATAGAATTTCTAAAGGTCAAAAGCTTATTTAGAAAGAAGAGATCATAAAATCTATAGTGAAAATCAATTTTCTATACATCAAACACCTCTTGCAGTTAGGATGAGTATGACTTATCGACCACAAAATTGGATGCTCAAATCAAAGCTCTTCTTATACTGAACTAGCATATGCACATAAAATGTAATACTGTGCAGATTAATTGACACATTGGGCACACCATACTCTAATGAAATATACCAAGCTTTAGCATGTTGTGGAGTACCTCCATGTCCACCTCTATCTTGATCATTCTACTACAATCTGGGCCCATTCAACCAGACATTAACTCTATTTATTTGTTTTTCGCTTTTATTTATTCCGTTTTGTGTTAAAAAAAAAAAAAAAAAAAAGAGCAATAATTGAAACTGCTGAACATTGCCTATTGTTTTCTAATGGCTTTTTAACCAAGGCGTGGACGTAGGTCGCCGTTACTAGATACTGTGGTCCGCACCGTTTATTATAGACAAAAAGTAAGAAGCCCACTCACGTTTCCGATTCCCAAAAAGACCCAGTTCTCAGTCCTACCGGCATCTGCCTGCGTCATTTTCACTTTCCTGCTCCTCTTCTACCATACTACAAGTATCTCCATTACCAAACTTTTCCGAATTCATGGATGCCGTACTCCCTTCTCTCATATAATATCTGTTAATTTTAATTTTTTTTTGCCGATATTATATTTTATGTCTTTATAAGTATCTGTATTTTTTCCTTAAAGAAAAAAGATAAGATGGGATTTGATCTACAGTCTTTGTCAGAAGCAACGTCAGGCGCCATTGGAGCTCTGGTTAGCACCACCATTTTGTATCCTCTAGACACATGCAAGACCAAGTACCAAGCAGAAGTTAGAGCTCACCACCAAAAGAAGTACAGGTGAAATCTAATCTTTCTTCTTTTTCGGACTTCACTTGTAAGCTTTTCTTGTTTCTATTTCAGATGTGCATTTGATTTTTTCGTTTCTTTTCATGTCTGAAGTGGTTTTGATCTGTTATGAATGTTAATCCTTATACGCCTGAAATTTACTGTTGATCACGAATTTATAATTATGGCTCGGTGTCTATCTAGTATTAGTCTAAAGAACAACGGTGATGTGTGGATGATTGGTCTAATATCTTTCTATTGTTTTCCTTATGGTAAATTGATTGGACATGAGGTTAGCAATTGTTCAATAATTTGGAAGACTGGTGTATATTTTACTAGTAGGGGGAGGAATTCAAGTCAGCAGAAAAATTGCACTTCCTCGCCTTAAAATTTGAGACACCACTTAGCCTCCGATACAAATTGAGCTCCTCAAATGATTACAGTAATCCATGACTAAGAATAAGTTAAGCAAGCCAAACAATTACATAGACCGCCAAATGGATGTTTGTTTAAAACCAAGAATGATTATTTTAATATTTTATATATTATATATATAACTCTTCATAGAAGGCCTTGAGTTTCCTGATTTTTCAGCATGACTGGGTGTCTAGAAATGGTAGCGTCCAATGGTGTGCATCATAGCTGATTTAGGGGCAGTAAATAATCAAAAAAATGGATTGGCCCTGGTAGTCTTTCTCTAAGTGGTGGTTTCTCTAATTTTCTTTTTAGTCAGGACTTATCTATCTATTCTGAAGAGAATATTCTGCCCTGGTTGGAGTGTACTTTTCCTATTACGATTGTTTACACGACTCTAGTGAATTGCTTGAGTTTTAGTGTTCGGTTGAATCTGGTATCCTGGTTCTTTATTTTTTCCCTCTTTCCTTTTTGAGTTGGAAAAGTCAAAATGGAGACTGTTGTTGACAACTTACTTGTTGCCTCTATCGTTTCTGGGAATCGTTTCTGGGAATTGTAGGGGAAGGGTCTGGATATGGATCTCTTAGATTGCAAGTATGCTCTTTGCTGCCACTAATAGTATATTTGAAAGATTTATGCTCTGTTTAATACATGAGGAATATCTTATAGTTTTTATTTTCTAATTTATAATGTTTATACATAAAAATAATGTAGTTGTTGAAAATAAAAACAAAGTTTTGGAAACGAAAAGTGTAACTATGACTTTGTTTGAAAAAAATAAAAAATTTTATTTTCAAAGTTGTGTCATATTTTTACTATTATTTTCCAGAACTTACTGTCATTTTCAATTTTTGTGTTTAAACATATATGATTATAACTCTCCCTGGAAAGAAAAAGACAGTATCTCTCTCTTTTCCTCCTTAAACATAAAATTCCCTGGAATTCTGCTTCATGATTCTTTAATTTTTATGCTTTCATCTCTATCATAATTGTATTGCCATGAAACAGTAAAAATACTTAGATGCAGGACAAAGTGTTCTACGAATTCGTACTGATCTTACATGAGACACAACCTTTTCCCTTTAAGCAATGTTTGGATTGAAACAAATATTTTGTCTAATTTATTGGAAATCTTAGCTCTGTGAAGTCATTACAATTGAACATCTTGTAAATTGATTTGTGAAGATATGAATCAAACAGATGAACCAATTTTTCTTTAAACCATTATTATTCATCTCCAAAGTCCATTAGTTTTGCTAGATCTTTTTATGTACTGTTCCAATTATTTCTAGTATTTATTTGGAGCTTAATTTGAGTTTTTGTTTTTGAAATCCAAAAACATGTATAACTTTTGAAAATGAAGAAGATTGGAAATTGATACTGAAAATATGACATGACTTTGGAAAAAGTTTTGTATTAGTACCAAACTTCTGCCATATTTTAACTATAATTTTCTTATTTATTTTCATATCTAATCACTGTACATAGTTTTGTATACAAACATAGATAAATCTAAAAATGGAAACTCAAAACAATTTTGAATAACTAAACAAGACCTAATATTTTCAGATGAATTTTACAAGACAATTCACTGCCTTATACATTAAACCCAATGTTCTAAAAGAATCTTCTGAACTGAATTCTTATAGTAGTGTTCTATTTACCAATGTGCTACAGTTCTAAAGTTTGGAATTTCTGATGTGGTGGTTATTTTCATAAGAAGTTTAACCAAATAAGCATGGGCCTTTCAATTTTAATATGACTTGTTTCATACAGGAATGTTTCTGATGTTCTCTGGGAGGCAATATCTACAGGACAGGTTCTTTCACTGTACCAGGGTCTTGGAACTAAGAATCTACAGTCCTTTATTTCACAGTTCATCTACTTCTATGGATACAGCCTCTTTAAGAGGCTGTACTTGGAGAAAAGTGGAAGCAAAACTATTGGGACAAAAGCAAACTTGATTGTTGCTGCTGCTGCTGGGGCTTGTACAGTCATACTAACACAGGTCGGCGGCATTTTGAGATTTTACCATGGTAACAATATTGCATTTCATTTCAGTAGATGGTTGGTTTCAAATAAGACGGAAGCTGTAAAAAGTCCCAATTGGTGCCCAAAGTATTTGGGGATACTATTCTCAAATTCCTAATGATGTTGACAACAAATTAGTATTTTGTATCCATAGAAGCAATTTTTTGAGTATTATTTTCATTTTGCACCCATTTTTATTTTGTATATTTTCTCACTTTTGGGTTTGTTCCTCCGTATATTATTCAAATTTCTTATCTTGCAGCCTTTGGATACCGCATCCTCAAGGATGCAAACAAGTGAATTTGGGAAATCTGAAGGACTTTGGAAAACCCTTTCAGAGGGCACTTGGAGCGATGCATTTGATGGTCTTGGCATATCTCTACTCCTGACATCGAATCCATCCATACAGGTAAAAGAGTCTTGTTAGTAGTATATGGATTGTTTAATATAATTGTTCACTTTGTAAATCGTACCTTTTTTCTATAAAAAAAAATTATTTTTTTTGGAAATTTACTTGGTCTCTAGTTACTGATAATTAAGTCATCCATGGCTTTTTTAGTTACTAAAAGTTTTTACAAAATGGACTTGTCAACATGGTGGATGCTCTTATAGTGTTTATGGTGGATATCTCATGCCTGAAAATTAATAGTTCATCCTGTTAAGCTTCCAAGATCAAATAACTCAAATCTATCTTAGAAATTGTTTTGGTTAATCAATTAGCTCAGTAAAGACTTCCTGTAATTGTCATAATCTAAAGATTCATTAGTGGTTAATTTATCATGTGAATTTTTTGTTCAGTCTCTTGCATCTGAGGGTCTTTTTTTGAAGTGGGCCATCTGTATAGAGTTTTTTTTTTTTCTCTTTCATAACTTTTTCCTTTCTTTCTAAAGTGGGAGAAATTCTGCTAGCATATTCCTTATGAATAAGTTGAAACTACTAACTACTACTTTCATGTTATGTAGTACACTGCATTTGATCAGTTGAAACAAAGATTACTGAAGGAACAGCTGAAGAAGAAAGCAGGTGTAGATTCTTCTTCAGAAGTTCTTTCTGCCTTCTCGGCTTTTGTGCTGGGTGCAGTCTCAAAATGTATTGCCACCTTTGTGACTTATCCAGCTATCAGGTAGGAGGTAAACTCAAGCCTCCTCAAATCCATTATGGACTTCATTCTCACAGTTAAAATTAATGATTGGAAACAGGTGTAAGGTCATGATTCAAGCTGCAGAATCTGATGAAGATAATGGCAAGGAAGGTCAACCAAAATCCGAAAAAACAGTTACAGGTGCACTCTATGCGATTTGGAAAAGAGAAGGACTACTGGGATTTTATAAAGGAATAGAGGCTCAGATCCTGAAAACTGTGCTTAGCTCTGCCTTGCTTTTGATGATAAAGGAGAAGATCTACAAGACAACGTGGGTCCTAATGCTTGCACTTAGTAGGCTTCTTTCCATTTCCCATCACAGATTAAAAACTATTTGATTATGGTGAGATGTGTAGTTATGGAGTCCTTGTAAATAATGAGTCTTTCTTCGGAGTAGTCTGCCCAAAGGAATAAAATTTGTAGCTAATGCAAGATTTTGCTACAATAACGGTCAGCAGGCACCGCGGCCAGGTTCCAAAATGAAACACCCAAATCTTACTGGGAAGACTTTTCTGAGTTCAATAAGTATTATGTCTCCGCCTATGCTAGCCTCCAAACAAATATTTCAAACACTTTTGTAGCAGTAACATATTTGGTTGGATTCACATCAGCCAAATATGAATGAAATTCTTGTATGGGACAGCCTGGCCAGCCTTGGTTGAAGTCATTGTTTGATCTTAATATCAAAATAGTTGTTTCTTTGGACAACTGAAAAAGAGCCTTGTAGTGGGGTAAAACTTGTAATTCTTTTGTTTGAAATGACAAATAAATACAGCCTAAATAGCAATTTCTGCAGCCCCAATCCCGCTCTATGCAATATAAATATATATATAAATTCCTGCTACTTGTTTTCAAGCTCGGGGAATTGTCAAACCAGTTGCCTTCAATTCAAAATGCTGGAATTTTTAGAAGTTAGGTTCTAAGTACCTTCTACTTTTATTCGGTTTCTAAATTTTAGTTGTTTGTAATGTAAAAATTAGTTATAGTGTCCATGTTACATGTATAATTAAATGAGTTCAGTTTTATTTTTAATTAAACAATGGTAGATTTATATTCCTACATTCATCTTCATGCTCATTAATGCAAGAATCACAAAAATATTACTATAATGGTACTGTCATTTAATTTCTGTTTTTTTTATTTATTTTGTATTTGTATAATAATTTTATAAAATTAAAATTTAAAGCAAACTAACTTAAATGTTGATTCAACAAACAAAGGTTTGTATAAATAAGTTTTTATTTAAAATATAACCTGTTTTATGTTGAATAAAGTACTTATTTGAAATAAATAAATAATTAAAAATAAAAAATAGTCAACAAAATGAATAAATAAGAAAAGAAAAGATTAACAAAAATACCAGTCAAGCTTATTTTCCATCTTTAAGAACTAAATAAAAATTCTCTTATATGCTACCAAACACTTAAGATCACAGCATGGTACTTTAGCTATTCATAAGCACTAGATAGGTACTTTCAAACACCATTCATTCAGTTCAGCGGTCCTCATCCCAAAATGATAAAATAGTGAACAAAATCAAAAGTAACAGCAGAAAATCACAACACCAGGGGGCTTATACAGAATCTGCTCCTTTATAGTATTTCACAAAAATCATTATGAAACATGAAGTCATAGTTATGTAAAGCAAATATTGTCAAAATGAATGTGTATCCGTCATTTGTCTTTCCATATGGTAACAGCAATATGTCTTGATCCCCCAGTTATCCTTGACAACAGGAGGGCAGCCATGAAAACAAATGTTAGTTCATTTTGGTTTACAGCAGGAAGAAAAATCCTAGAAACAACAGCAAGTGATAGATCAAGTCAATCTTAGAAACCAAACTTGTTGCGTTGTCTGAATCTGTGCCTTGAGATGGAGAGAAACTGCCTTCGGGTGTGCTTGTAGTTGTGACAACAACAATCCAATTACCGTCTGAGCCAATCCCAACTCCTGTGTACTTGGTGTCGTTCAGATTTTCTGAGTATTGAGACTGTGTAAAGTTGGAAAGCACAAGACTAGGAACCAGGTTAGGAACACAAGCAGGCATTATGGCCCCATCTCTTGTGTTAGAGATATTCAGATGGCATTTGGCTAAAAGCTGTGGATAGTTGGAGAACTGAGGTTCAGTACCAGGTACTGTGTTGGCACCTGTAGTGTTGGTACAGGGTTGATTCTTAAACTGGTCAGCTATTTCATTAGCAAGGCACTCTGCATTCTCATTTGCTGTTAAGGTGGTCAAGTTTAAGGAAGTTCGATAAGCATTAATCCCTTGAAGAAGATTATCTTCCTTGTCTGCAGGAAAATGGAGGTAAGGAAACATTCAGTTTCAGGTAGTATAATGGAAGGAATATGGTATCTGCAGTTTCCAAAAGAACTACTAGTTTCCTACTGCAACACTCCCATAGTATTTGATCCACTGCATCTAACATTTGTTTGATAGACTTGATATGCTTTAGCGTTGCTGATGATAAGTACTTCATTATCTTTTTCATCTCAAGACATATCATGGTAATGGCATGGAAATATTTTGGTAAAATAAAAGACTTATTGTCACATGTTCTTATAACCAACCATTAACATAGCTGGGATAAAAGCAAGAGCAGGCATATTAAACAGTGAATATGGAAATAAAAGTGCTAGATTTCTTTTACATAAGACCTTAAAGTCATCAGTATCTTAATAAAGACCATTAACAAATCTGGGATAAAAGCAAGAGCAGACATTAAACAGCGAATATGGAAATAAACGTTTACATAAAACCTTAAAGTCATCAGCATCTTAATAAAGACCATTAACAAAGCTGGGATAAAATCAAGAGCGGGCAAATTAAACAGTGAATATGGAATAAAAGTACTAGATTTCTTGTACATAAAACCTAAGGTCATCAGCTTCTTAATAATGTATGAGAAACTTCCAAGATAACAATTGCTCTTGAATCTTAATTGCTAGAATTTCTTTTTCATTAGTCCTCAAAATTTTCAGCATTTTAGTAATGTCTGAGAGAACTTGTCCAGCATTACAATAACTCATGAACCTTCTCTAATCATAGCCCTTGGAAAAATTGGTTAAAGAGCTGCTTTTAGTCAGAGCAAAAAGAAAACTACTGGCAATAAGAAGCTATCGTTCTAACAAAAACAATGGTATGAAGATAAATGGATGGATGACAATCTAATCAGGATAGACTGTCAGGAAAAATTCCTTAATTTTCTAATGTTGATGGCTTGAGTGGTATTACAAATGAGTAATAATATGGAATAGATCCACATTTGATTCCCTCATAAATAAAATCATTCTCCAGTCTTATCATAAAAGCAGTTTAAGCATTAAAATTAAGAGAATCTCCTACAGGCAGTGGAATGCTGTCATATACCCGTTGTTGGAAGAAAATACATTGTAAATGACTGTTCAAATCAACCTCCAATTACTTTGGCCAAAAAAAAAGAAAAAGTCACTCTCCAATTACAATCACAAAAGTTCAACATAGCAAAGATAACAAAACCTAAGACCTAAACTATAATATTAGGTAACAACTTTTTTCTAAACTGATGAAAGGCGGGTTCACTCTAGAAACTAAAAACTGGCTGGACTCTTTTTGCACTTGATTCATACTGGTAGAACAACCAATCAACGAACAAAACCTTCATATGATGCTACCATTCATTCCAAGCAAGCTTAAGAAACATATTATATTCTTGGCAAGATAACTGCCACCACTCTGCATGATAATTAAATTGCCTATTGATACTTTGGATATTGAGTTCCATCTTTTTGTTATTGACTATTATACCCCTTTAGTATCATTGGTACAAAAAAGGGGCAGGGAGTTCGGGGGAAAACAGCTCAAAGTGTTTTGTACACTACTCGATGAGTATGGGATAATGTGTTCCAGATAGGAGAAAACTGCTTTCTACATATTATAGAGACAATTCATAGTGAACAAAACAGGGATTGAATTCTACAATAAGAAAAGTGGCATTATGTACTGCAGAAAAGAAGGTCCATTACCCTTAACAAAAGCGCTCTTATTTCAGCCGTTTCTAGTCTACGCAACGAGAAAGCACAAAAAAGAAAAGAATAAGCAAGGCCACATAAAGATCAAGGAATGGGATAGAGTACAAGATCAGGTAGGATGAAAGAGAAAGTGGATAACATTTTTTAGAAAATAAATGACTGGATAATGCCCTTAACACTCAACGTTTAGCTGATTTCACCTCACTTCTAGTCTTTCATTGACCTCCAACTGTACCTATCCAGTACTAATTTAAACCAAAAAAGAAAGGTTTGTTCAGTAGCTCTTATCTCTTGTTTGACTTGGTAACTGGTGCAAAATCAAACAATGTATTTAGCTGACTTCATCTCACTTCTGGTCTTTCAATGGCCTCAAAGTGTATTTATCCATTACAAGTTTAAATCAATTCCTTAGCAATTAGCTCTTGTTTGATTGGGTAATGGTGCAAAATCAGACAATGCATTTAGGAAAATAGGCATGTGGATCTGACGTCAAGGGATTACAGAGAAACGCCCGATAAAATCAGTTGATAGACAACAAGAGAAAAAACCAGATCACTCTTCAAGAATCAGATCTTGAAAGTATAGTGAACCCAAATAAATTTTTCAATAACAATTAAAGCAGAAAAGCCAAATATCAGACTTAAGCCGGAAAGAGAGCACTAGAAGAAACAAATAAAGAACCAGATGCCTATATATATATATATAATATATATAGTTAAAAAATGATAGCAACGGCGAAAGAAGCAAGCCGGAGTCATAAATGCGTAATAAAATGAGTGACCATAAATGGGAAAAGCAGAAAGACTGAGACAAAGAGGCAGAAAGAGTGAGGAAAGAAGGAACATTACCATGGTCAGCCAACACTGGGCGATTCATCAAGAGAATAGAAGAAAGGAGCAGAAGCCGAAGAAGATAGAGGCTTGAAGTTGCCATTACTTTTGCCTTCGTCGCGGTGTTGCTGAAAGAAGAAGAGGTTTATGGATGGATCCTTAAGGGAGATTGCAGGGTAAGTAGGAAGATGGTTGCTTTCTGTTGGTGCTTTGCTTGAATTGAAAGGGAGATGGATACCAGTAAGACCTAAACGACATCGTTTAGTATCAACATTTTTCTGTGAACCTGCCACGTCTTGCTCCAACTGGTTACTGCTCCAAGCTGGCATAATCTTAATCTCCGTTTAAAACCAAGAATCTGTTCAAACCGACCTTTCATTTACAGCCAGAAAAAGCTATATTAAAACACGCATATATATATATATATATATGTATATTGAATGGCTTGGTTGTTTCTCGTGAAGTAATTTCATTAAATAAATTTTTTTTTTTATTTTTAATAAATATATTTTTATAACTTAAATATTTAATTAAATCACTATGATCTATTAATGAAATTATATATATATATTTTAATTATTACATTTACTATATTAAGTTATTTAATTTTAAAAACATATTTGACTTTAAAATTTTTTTTTTACGTTCAAAATACTATTTTAATCAAATATTTGTTATATTTGACTTTATAACAAAGGTGATTGTTGATTTAAAATTTGATTCCATTGATTTTTTTATCTACTAAATATGAAATTTAATTGAACTGATAACTAAAAATAATTTGGTTAAAATTTTTTGATAAGGTAATTGATCTAGATTAAAATTATAAAAAAAAATAATTATTATCAATTGATATTAAATTAATAAGTATTTAATTTTATTAATTATGAATTAAGTAAGTTATTAAGGTTTATGAATTTGTTATTTCTTTTATTTTGACTAAAATATGTAATTGTTTCTCTCTCTTAAAAAATGTTTAAATAAGTTCATCTAGCTTTTTGTTTTTCA